AACAATGGCAAATTCAAAAATATTGTCGCTGACTCAGACAGTACGCCCGTGGATCACACAGTAGCACCCGGCAGCACATTAAACACCACAGTCATACTAAAGCCACAACGTGGTCAAACGAAAAACTGGATTGCGCTCGAAGACACATTGCAGCGCAATACGGAGCCCGAAGAGATCACCGGCAGCATTGCTGCCTCAGCGGTACGGTCACCAAATCTTATACTTGCGCCCGGGCAGTCCATAAATCCTTGCCCTAGTCCAGCCGTTGGCATACCGCAACCGAGCGGTTATCATGGACACGGTGTGTCTGGCGTTGTAGGCGACGATCGCAACGTCTTTGCCATTTATGTGTCCTACTATGTGAAGGTAAAGTTGACCTTGAGCGGCATGGGTGGCGAACTGTCGCTAAAGTTGCCCTTCGTGCTAGTACATGTCGAAGAGCCAAAAGTTGAGCATAAAGTGGAAAGACTTGAATTAGACGATGTACCGGCTGGTAAACGTAACGGCAACAAAATCAAAGACGGCGCTATCACATCGACAGCCGGTATAACGGCAACTACGTCACGCAAAGATGGCAATGGACGTCTCAACACGCATCTGCAGCAACTTGATGGCATCGAGTCGATAGACAATGAGATACGCTTGCCAATACCGGAGACAGCTGTGCCAACGACAGCACCTGCTGCCATCTGCAAGCCTAAGCTATTGTGTAGCGAAACGTTAGCTAAAGGTTTGAACGAGGAAATCGAAAAGCAGACAGAGGAGGAAACGCGAAAAGCAACTCTTAGCACCGAGGAGAGTTTGCCGAACGAAGGTGAAGAGCTGCAGCAAGTGCACATAGTACAAATACATTCACAATTAGCACAGAGCGCTGAAAAAGAAACGGTGGAAAGCCAAGAAGAGGATGTAAATAAGGAAGCGAAACAGATTTTTGAGTTGATGGAACCAGAAGAAGATATAAAGCAAATATTACAAGATGAACCAACAAATGATGAAATAGAAGAAGAAGAAGGAGAAAAAGTGGAGTCTGCGGTGGAAAAAACGTCTAATGAGCATCACCCTCATCTCTCTGACGTGTGATTTTCTTTTCTATGCGGTATGTTTCACAAAAAAAGGCGCACAGTGTGAAGTAGCTAACAGAGAAATACTTTTTTGATATAAAGAGAAAAATAGTCAGAGTATATTAGATTTTGACAAGTAGGAATATAGAAAAATACAATGTTTAGTGAAAGAGAGGAGAGTAAGTATTGACAACTGTAGGTGGGTTGCATGTTTTTGTGGATCTCAGTACCTATAACTGACTTTTAACTGAAAATATCGGCCAATCTACGAGGTACCTTAATAAGATCAGAGAACATCTTTTTCTGGAAACAATATTAGGGTATTCACAAGGTGTCATATTGTGTCACATTGTCATATTGCCTCATTTTTTTATGACTGTCATATCAACACTATTGCAAAATTGAAATACGACAAATACAATACGGCGAGGCGTGTTTTTTGAATGGGCCATTCTATCAGCTGTATCTGTTTACTTTTTTATTGTTGATGTTTAAGTGTTTAAAATTAATCAAATTAAAAGCCTGGTAAATTAAGATGAAGAAAAGTAAAATATAAAAATATTTTGTTGTTTCTGTGGTTTTGCAACCAAAATATCGGCGGTTCAACATAAATAAGCTTTAATTGTATTTTTGTCACTTTCTCGTGGCATTTTGTATTCTTAGCTTTTCACTACCAGCTGGTGAAGTGAAGAAATATTACACAATTTGACATACAACAATTAAGGGGTGCTCACAAGTGTCGTATTGTACTTTTTAAGACTATTGAAATACGACATAAGACATAAGACGAAGTTTGTGAATTGTCTATATGTCTTGATGGCAAAAATAATATAATGTAATAATATAATATTAGACATCGAGAAATTTTTGAGGGAGAGGACTTATGAAAAAGTTTATAATATGAAGAAAAATATAGTTAAATAATTTAGCTAGATATACTGTTGAATAAACGCTTTTTGTTTGAAAAATATGATATATCAGTTCCAATCATGAAGAGTTCTTTATCTACTGGGAATGCTTTTCAGCACCCGGCAGATATTGTCGAACTATGGAGTCTTTTACTGATATGAAAAATGAGAAAATAGAAGATACCGCCGAGAAATATTAAATTTTGATACAAAAATACTCTTGAAATTAAAATGAACTCGGTTATATATAAATAGAGAAAAATATATACCTACATATATGTATATAATTATAGACATCGAATGGCTCATAATTTATTCTGCCATCACTAAAAAGTAACTGTTTAGCATTCTCGCGCTTTTGGGAGATAAATTGCGTTCTCGATTGACGATCGACATTTTGTGTTTATTCTGGCCTACTTTCATTTATTGAAAGTAATGATTTTTAGTTTAAAAGAAGCCTCATATATACAGTGCTATACATGTATATAAATATATAAATTTTTTAGGCGCCGTTATACTTAAATGACCGTAATTTGCTTGGAAAAGAGCGCACACACAGAAAACAAAATGACTTTCAGCAACTCTTGTCTGCGACCGATAGCGGAGACCTGGCAGGAGCGCTCCAATTATTACAACGACGGTGTGCATAAAAAATAGATCTATTATAATAATAAATTTCCTAAATAATTTTTAAATTTCCATATTCAGAACATCCTGGCAAATGCTTGGTGAGTGATAAGCTCATTCTCTCACCTGGTGAGAAGGCAAAAATCTCTCAACTACTGTTCGGTAAAACATTATGGCAGTGAAAAGGGTCATGCCACCGTTTCTGGGTAAGTTCAAGATAGTTTACAAACAATAATAAGAGAAAAAATACAAAAAGGGTTTGAAGAAAATTCTTTTCTACGGTTTTTTTTTCTAAAAATAACTAGTATAAGTCATATAGATCAGCATGATTAATATGAATTAGAGGCAATCTTCAATTCACCAAACTTAGGTATTAGTGACACAAACCAACAACTGCTATAAATCTTATAGACTGGTATAATTATTTATTTTTTTATTTATTTATCCCAGGATACAAAGTACATATTAAATAGAAAACATTAAAATTCAAATCCTTGAGAGAAACAAATCGAACAAAAACTGGTATAAATACCACAGGCTAAAACAATCGTCATCGAATCGATACAGATAGATAGATTATCTGTTCGATTTTCCAATTCGGGAGTAATGGATCGAACAAAAAACTGATATAAATATCATACTAAAATAAAGCTAAATGATTCATTCAATTTGAAAATATTTTATATTTCTTAAAATCAACAAACTCGCATAATAAAAAGGAGTCAGTTATTCTCACCGTTTTGACAAAAAACACGAAGCAATGAATCGAACATGTTATAAATTACGTATACTGACAGAATCAAGTAGAGACAGAATGATAAGAACTCATACCACTTCAAGAAGGTATCCACACACTATTTTGCATTGAATTCCACTGATTAACCTTGTTATTGACTTCTCTTGTTATATATTTTTTATAAGAGAGAAGAGAAAAGAACGGGCGAAGACTCTATATAGCAAATTAAAATTTATTTTTTCTCTTTAATTTTTAGTTTTGGCGCTGTTGGTCCATCAAAGGGATGCAAATTAGGCGATTTGGTAAATAAGGCTGCAGCCTTTCAGGAGTGCCCGCCACATGGTTTCGAAGGTGACTTTACGCATGAGGCTCAACATTATCAAAAACATAACGGAGACATTTTCTCTCGCAATTCGAAGAATGCTGAATTTCTGACGTAATGGTGGCGTTTCATTAAATATAATGATCAAGTAATTAAGCGATTATAAATTTTTGAATGAAAAAAGTGATATTTCATTATTGTTGTTGTTAATATGAGAATAAAAATTGTTATCTTTAAATAAATATAAAGTTTTTTACTAAATAAAAGTGGCGAGCTTAAGCACATAAATTTGTATAAATCCTAAAAGTATGTTTAGTGGGTCAAAATTGGTCTATTAAGGTGAGTAGAGATTACATTTTGCTGCACAAAGATTACTCTTCGATTCTTTTAAAATAGTTTACGGAACAATAATCATTACACTTTGATTACAATTTTTGGGATGAACCGAGGTTAGTTACTTAACAGTATGGAATATGGAATAAGATTGTATATGTGTACTTATGAAATTGGTTAAGATTATTCGTTATTATTAGAAGGTGTGGCTTCATATATTGAAACAAACTTAGCGATTGAAAAGCGAAAGATTTTTATAAAGGAGGTCGGCATCGACCACATTTGGAACATGCTTATGAGAAACTTGGAACGCCAGTTTGTTCCATGTGCCCAAATAACAGTTGATGAGCAATTATTTAAGTGGCGAGTCGTTTAAATCAATATATACCATCAAAACTAGCTAAATATGACATAAAAATGTGGTGGGTGTGTTACTCCCACTAAAAGGAATAAAATATGTTGGAAAGCATGTAAACGAAGCACGAGCGGTGAATCCCTATACCTACAAGAGTTAAGTTACGGTCTGACCTTGATTACGAAAACCATTCGCTTCTTTCTTGCACTTCCACTACCTTGATCTCTTTCTTTCCTTCATTTTCTCATCTAACCTGGAAAGTGTGAGTATTCCTTAAGTTGCGTACGAAAACTAATCTTAGCTTACGACTGATAGAAAGTATTCTAGAAGACTTTCTCGGATATAGTTCATTAGAACATACATTGAAGTCTGTCTATACTGAGGTACAACTTCAACAGGTAAGTTTTTGATGCTGCATTGAGCTCCTAACGAGAGTGTCTTAGACTGAAGAAGAAACAGTTTAAGTGAAATGAACCGAGCAGGCACGACCTAGATTGCACTTTTTGAGAGCAAATGCAACCAACATTGTAAGGACTAAAATTTACATATATTCACCAATAGCACCTAAAGCTTTTATATTATATATCGCCTCTCTCCCCCTCTATCACTCTCTGACAACGAACATTAGGTTACTGATCTCGAATGAAGTTAATAATTATAAATATTTATCGTGATGTGGCTACTATTGTGTGGATAGTCAAATCCCGAGAGGGAATAAATGTACCAATTTATAATTGCATTAACATATCGGCAGGCAAAGTCCAATGAATATATACCATATATTTGTTATACCCTGAACAGGAAATATTAAGTTCACCACTATATTAATAACACTCAAAAGGAAATTTCGGAGAAAGAAATACTCCTGTGCAAGAAATTTACTGCTTTGGATTTTCCGTAAGGTTTGTGACTGGAACTTTGGGTAAGTTCGTTATATCCACAAATTTTCTGGTAACGGTTTTGCACTTTCAACATTATTTGCAGAAGAGTTTTTTAACCGATATTTCTACATTTTTACTCAAACTTTCACACATAAGAGGCCAATAGGAAAAGGGTGTTGATGAACTCAGTTTTGATTAAGTTCGTAAAACCGTATGGCAAAATCAGAAAAGCAGAAGAATACTGTTAGAACAACATCGATTCGGTTAGTTTTGTATATGAAATTTCCAGGTAATTTTAAAAGTTTCTCAGAAATGGTGTCAGCAGATGTTTTAAGCTTCATAAATATATTTGAAGCTAACAGCGGGGCTTCTTAGGAGAAGACTTAACGTACCTATGCTTCGGGTTTTTATTATAAACGCGCTAATCGAACCACGAGAGGGCGCTGCGGTAATCATAATGTAATTTAATTTAAAAAATGTAAAAAACTTCTCTAGATCTAAGATTTATAATCTATACCTTACAAAAAATTTAATCTTCCGATAAAAGCATAAAGTAAGCTTTACTTAAAACGAAATCGTGTTATTGATAAATAAATATCTTCAACCTTAATAATAATCATTAATCAAATTTACTTGCTTGCCTAGATACTTAGTGCAGGGAAGGGCGTAAAAATTGTCTGTACACAAGCAACTGCTTTGACTCAGGAAGTAGGTAAATATGTAAAATAGAAATGACAAATCGCATAAACTCAACAGCTGAACTACTGGAAAATTTACAAAATTCAATTTCCTCGACGCATTCAAGCATACGGTAGATTGTACAAACTGCAAATCGGAAGATGTACGTAGGTGGAACAACAAGCAACAACAAATGTTAAACAGAGAATACTTGAAAGTGTAGTCGACGTTGAGGCGCCTGAGCTTAGGGCGCCGATAGAAAGGGATAAGTGTGCGCGTGTGAGCCAAAATGTTGCTTTGTGCGGGCTGGATATTTCAATGTCCAGTTGAGACAAGTAAAGAGCTGGTAAACACATCGAGAGTTTGGTTAGGATTTGATATATTTTTCTTATGTTATGGTTATCTAGGCTATATTATGTCTTGTTTATTTAAGATGGTATAGACTGTTGTGCGTAAGTATGTGTAAATAAGGTTTACATATACTCTACAAGGTCTCCGATGATTGCTGCTGAGTGTTATCAACTTCGTGGCGAACTTAACGTACCTGTTTAGGGTATAAACTATGTCTTATATACCATACTATGGTCCTTAGCAGTAGACGTTGTATTCTAACGATGCCGAGATGGATGCAGCTGTTTTAGAAGATGCATTCTTAACTTTTGCTTTATACTGTAAATATGTCTACCCCGAGTGCCGGAAAAGGCTACTCAAACATTTTCACATATTTATATATAAGCTTCATATACTCATAAGAATATACATCCACTTTTCTTAAGGAACTACTGCTTACTTTCTTCATAAATTACTGCTTCTCTTCTTCTGATTGTCGCTTTAATGCAAAGCAGTTTAGTCAAAAGCAACGATAATGCTGATTTCCGTTAAATTCACATCCGGTAAAATTTTCCTTACATATGGCATTTTTATTTTTCTTGCTCATGAACACGCTCAAGTAGTCATCATATATTCTTGTGAGCTTTTGAAACATATTAGTGTAGATTAAAGTGCAGAAAGATTATTCCACATATCGACAGAACTGGAGTGCTTTTTCAGAATTATGCAAGAACATTAATGGATTCGGAAATAGATATAAAATTCTATCGAGTGTGCTTGATTTCTAATGGCAAATGCGAGTATTTGATGAATGAGTTAGATAGACTTAGTAAAAACAAATTTAACGATACAAATATATAATCAAAAGCTACTTAGGAGCTCACAAGGGATTTACCAAATTTTAAAGTCGCCAATTATAATCTTGAAGTGACTAAAATCTGTGAAGATACTCCTACACATATATTTCATAATGGATTTTCTATTATTATTATGATTTCCAAAATTTATTGGTTAATACGTAAATTTGTTTAGCATTTTACACATTTTTGAATTCACTTATTGCAATTGCGCACAATTCACTTTCAAATATAAACGTCAAAGTGATATAAGCTGCGCAACAGCATTAGTGTATTTTCACAGGGTGCACAACGTGAAAAACTTTCACTGATTAATTTTTTTTGTCTTATTACTTTTTTTTATTTCTGCCTCTTTTTTTAATTTTATTTTCTTTTTACGAAGAAATATAGCATGCGCTGTAATTAAAATTTCACGCTTAATAGTTTCTACTCCGCACTCTTTTGTTTGACGGCGCTTATTCAAGTTAATCACGCTAACTGCAGTTATTAAATTTTTTGGTGGCAAGAAAAAGTGGGTGTATGTATTTTATATATGACCTTAAGCAACTTACTACATAGAATCAAAACAAAATAAGTTTTAGTAACTCAAATGAATTCAGGAAAGCTGAAGAACACCTCACCAACAAAGTAGAAAAATAATAATAAGCAAACGGTGTTAGTCCTAATTAACGCAGCTTAGGCAAACGCATGTAAAAGCTTACAAAATGCAGTTATTTCCTTTGTTTTGTGAATAAGCCGTTATTATTGAATTACAATAATAATTAAAACTGAATTAAAATATTTTTTGTTTCAATTTAAAGTTAAATAAATTTATAACACTCATGTGAGGCACCCAGTTCACTATTTTTTAAGCAGCAGCTGATCGTCAATATTAAAATATTAACAAAGCTGTCAAAGCGGAAATAAGTTTGATCTTGTGCGGTGAAACCATGATTCATGCGTGAAACATTAAATTTTGGTGTTTGAATTAAGAAATATTTAAACATATAATAGATAGATAGATATAATATATTCATATTTGCAAAATACTCATACTTATACTGGTACTCAAAATCATTGTCATATTCATAACACATTAATTTATTCTTCTTGGTTTTTTACTTCAGCATACAAATACGTTTTTTACTACTCATACTCGTTATACTAATACTCATATTCAAAATATATTTCTTTATAATATTTGTTTTCTCACTTTAGCCAACTAAAACGAAAAATTCTTCAAATGCTCATACTCATATTTAAATTATATTTATTTCTGTTATCTTTCTTCGACCACCAAATATTATTCTGCCTATATTGCAAATTAATTAGAGCCACTGCCATCCAACTTACTAATATTACAAGCTTGGTTATTACAAACTGTTTTTGCTGTTAATTTGTGTCCATTATCGTTTTAATTAACACTCAGCTGAACTAAACATATTTCTTTTATAAGTATTTCTTTTATAAGTACATACGGCTGAATATGTTGTCTCTAAGTTATCTTCATCATATATACGGAATCAACTTTTGCGCCACTTAAGTAAACACTTTGTCAGCAACTTTTTGAGCAGGCGACTCCTACGCAAAGGACAAGCCACTGACGCTGCATGTTTGTGCATACACACACCTATACGTACAAGTAACATACTTATGTCACATGACACTGCTAATCAAGTCATGCACACTGACACATAATCTCTAATTATTTTATTACGGTTTTAATCAAAATTTGCCGTTAACTATAGTGTGACTTTTATTAATATTTTCTTACCTGCAGGCACGGCCGATGAGAAACTCCCTTTTCTCCTGTATCTGTTTGGAAAAATAATAAAATCGTAGCTGATTGAAATGAAAACAAGATCAGTGGAGGTTTTT